TCTAATTTGAATTCAGCCTTAGGGCTGATGAATTGTCTTGAATCCAAAACAAGATGAAAAATAATTTAGGGATTGACACTTCAATTTCAAATGTCCTTCTTATCCTCTTCTTTATATCCTCCCTTTTTCCCTCTTGCCCTTGCTTCGAAGTCAAGCCAAACTCACAGTTTTGCGTGCTTTTATTTTGAGACCTGTGAAACTCCCTTGGTTTTCCCTGTGGTTTTCTATTGGATTCTGAGCTGGCTTCAGTTTGTGGTTCAGAGCCAGTTCCAGGTGGCCTGGGGATTACAAACGCCTTGCCACTAGAACAAAGGAAACTGCTGTGTGAACTCTGGCAGAGCTAAACCTTCTTTGCATTTCCAGTCGAGAGAGTAGGTCCAGTTCATAACTAACACCCTTGAAATAGGGAATTACAAATCTTGGTTTCAGTGTGAAAATATAAAACAATTTTTTTTTCTTTGTACTATGGAGCTATTCTTTCTTCTTCCCTCTTCCTGTTCCCCATATGACCACTGCTGCCATCTATAGAACTGGAAACCATTGGAAATCAACTCCCCTGGAAAATGAATGGTTTGGAAGTCTGTCAGAAATGACTGATTATTAAAAGACCCACTTTCAGACTCATGGCCTTATTTCCTTTACATGTGAAAAGTGGGCTGTCCACAGTCTGCCAAGGTCATTTGGGTTCCAATATTCTCTGCGTACGTACAACTCTTCTTACCTGGCCTCACAATGCTGAGATCACCACTGCAAGCCCTCCAGCATCTTCCTCATCCACCTGGAAGATGCTTCCTTTTTATTCCTTTCAGCCACCGGTTCTGTCAGCAAAACCTGGGTTACCAGCTTTGCTGTTGCTATCTACTGTTCTTCGTGTGTTCCAGCCTTCCTCGTTAAATATGGTCATATCACCTTTCCTGCCAGTCTACACACTGTTGGGAGCACTGACCTCCCCCACCAAGCTCCATGACCAAGTCCTGAAAACAAAAGTGGATCCTCCTTTTATAATTCATAGGCCATCTGTTTAGCTTTCAAAAGAAGAAAAGCAATAAATGTAGGATTCATGCTAGTCAGTCTCCACACCTGTACAAAAAAAAAAAAATAAAATTAAAAAGACCCTTACCATAACCAACTTAAATGCATCAGGGAGAGCTCTTGTGGACACAGGGTCCTGAAAACAACTGGAAAGAAAGAACCGGATCCTTCCCACACAGCAGCTCTATGGGCTTCCTGAGGGACCTCTGTAGGTGAGTTCTCATCACCTCAGTGACCTGCGTGGTGGCCGGCACCATAATATTTCTGGCTGTTTACCCAGGTTTTAAAAGCAATGCTGTAGGGACCATCGGCTGCTTTGTGATCCCCTTCCCCAAGTTGTCCCTCAATTTGTTGCCTTCTAGAGAGCCTCTTTTTGCCCCAGGCCCCACAACGGAGGGAAGACAGTGCGTTCCCACATGCCAGAAAAACCAAATACACATTTTTCTGCAAATCACAGTTCAAAATACAAAGGGTTTTTTCTGCATAGGAAAATTAATTGGTTCATCTACTAATTCCCGTACAGAATGAACATGGTCAATTCCATGGCAGTCTTCTGGTTAAAACAAAGGGAATGTATCTTTTTAGGAAGCTCTGTCTCCTAGAATCTGAGCTGACAGAAAAATGGTAGCCATGGGAGCCTCCAAGAAAAAGTCAGCACAGACCCATCATCGGCATAGAGGGCTGAGTGATGAAATCTGTACCGTCCCAGGGAGTGGCTTGCCTAGCACAGGGGGGAATGGCTCACGTCTTCTGCAAAATTCAGCTCCCAGACTTCTACCTCAAAGTTGAGAAAAATAGCGAGGCTGATCAAACTGCTGTTTCCTTTTGCACATGACTGAAATATAACTGTTATCCTGAACTGCCTAGATTAAAGGAAGGCTGATGCTTCATTCACTGGAATTCCTGCAGAAGTTGCCCTTTTCTGAATTACCAGCACTAACGTGAGTGGCTGGTGAAGAAGCATTCATAAACCTTTCAAGTCTATTGCTGTTGGCTTAGTGAGAGCTTTCTTCATCATGAGCCTGAATAGATTTATTGTCTCGGTCATGGAGTGTGAACAAAAGTGATAGTGCTCACCAGGCACTTAGTTTTCTCAATTCCACTCGATTCTAATTGTAAGTAATGAAAAGAATACTACATTTTTAGGTCTTGGTTCCGGGGAGCATTTTAAATAGAAGTAGCCTCCAGCGCTGTTCAAAATACAATCTAAATAATGCAAGATTGTTAGCAGAAAATACAGCACTATTAAATAACACCAAGGAATGGACAACTGTTCAAAGTCATTATTCTTGATTAGCCTGGATCATTATTGCTGAGTGCATGTGACCTTATTTGCACTCTAATACTTGTAGTCGTTCAGGAAATGTTAAATAATCATTACTGATTAATTGCTATGGATTATACTGAGTGGTTGTATCCACATTTTGTGGATTTTTCAGTGCTGTATTGGGAAGCATTTATACTTCCCGAAGATGTTTTGTTTTATTCCTACCTACAAAAAAGGTAAACCTTTTCTAAAAGCAAGTAGTTTGGGAGAACATTCACTTACGTTCCCAAAATCATTTAAGTATTTCTGAAAAGCCCGCCCAAAATGATAACATATTTTTTCAGCCCAGAGAACTTTTGTTTCAGGTAAAATCATACATTTTGTGCAGTTTCTGAGGATGAGATTTTTTTATAGCCTCTCAGCTGAAACGCCTCATGGCAGTGTGCAAAGTGAGCCGATTCGCTCTGGGGTGAGGGATGGGGAAAATATCCACCCATGTTATTACAGAAATCCACAGCTGGCATCCTGAAGAGAAGGGAGTAGGAAGGGGGAAGTCTGTGGTTCTGCTGAATACATAACATTAATGATGCTGAAAATGGGAGGTTTCTGAAGATTGCCTGTTGATTTGCCTTGCAAATACCTCTTTCTGCAAATACCTGCTCATGGCGCACCTTTGACAAGAAGCCATTTGCACAGCGTTTTGTCAGCACTCGTTTAGCATGAAGCTGAGAGCTGTGATGAAGTGTCCCTATAGACCTTTTTATTTTCTTCCTAACTACAGGCTCACTTGACAGGGTGACACGTTGAAAGGTTGCGTAAGAAAAGATTTGTTATGGAGTGTGTTGGATTTTTTTTTTTTTAAATTAAAAGCATTGTCATGAATCTAATTGGAGGGAGTAAGCAGCCAGTATCACTCGTGTCGGGGTTTGACAGATGGATCACTTTCCAGGTGCACAGAGCGGTTTTTGTCTGCCGTGCCACCCTCTTGCCTCAGCTAAACGGGTTTGCAGCAGAGCTGCGATGGAGAGGCAGGGGCAAAGGGGTGATGTCCCCTGCCAGAGCTCTCCACAGCTCCCTTGGATGGGAGAACCCTATCGGTTTTAATCCAGGCTTTTTTGGTTGTGGCGCAGTCAGTTAAAATGACAAAATGATGCATGATGGGAGGAAGAGCCTCATTATGTTGTCGCTTGTACTTTGTAGTTTGCTTTTAAAGGACTCTGTTTGCCATCACACCTAATGAAGGGCAGAAGCTGACAGCCTGGGCTGCAACAATCCTGTGCAAAGTGCGAATGCTTCACAGTAACACCACCACAAACACCAGTTTGGGTTTTTTTTTACTGTGTGTCTGATAGCTCTGTTAAAGATGCAAGTCTAAAGGAATGTAATTTAATCCCATTTGCATGATTGTGAGGCAAGGGAGCTGAGCTGGTTGTGTTTATTCTACCCCGATATTAAGAAAAATTAGGTGTAGCTCGCAATCTGCTTGCCTGGATTTAACTCTGTCAGGGTTCTTTGGTGATAGAGCAGGCAATGGTTTGAAGTGCTAAGGGATTACATTTTTCAAGATTTTAAGGCCAAAATGTATCAGTGTAACCACCAGTCTGCTTTTTTGTGTATCTGCAGTGGGTGCTGGTGCCCAGCCCTGCCCGGGGCTGCAGGGTCCCCGCTGAGGAGAGCAGAGGGGCTGCCCTGTGCCA